TCTCACTTCTCTTTCCCCCTTTCCTCCTCCCTTCTACCCCTTTCCTTCTTCCTGAATGATCACTGATTTAACTGAGTGCACAGATTTCAGTCAAATCTACCTAAAAGCAATCATTAGTAAATCCCAACCTTCCAAAGCTTGTCAACAGATACCACAGAGGATGACGGCACTGGTCCCAGGAAGGATTGCTGGAAGGGACAGCCGTTTGTCTCAGAAGCGATCTGTGCTTGGCAAAATGCTGACCCAGGTGGAGATGAGACCCTCCTGGGGCACCATGGTCTTGGGACTCTACACCGAGAATATCATCAGATTCCCTGAGCCATCCACAAAGAAGTGCGGTGCCAACAAAAACCAGGAGGGAGTCCCATTAGCTACTATGCTAGACACAAAATCCAGCTATTTAAGGATTTGAAAATCAAAGCAATTCTTTTAACTCAGAAGCAAAATGAGAAGAAAACAGTATAAGCCATGATCCCTAAACCTAAAGCTCTGAGGGTATTATAATGCAAAGGTGAAATCTCACCGGCAAAGTTGAATCACCATGGGGAAATGGGCCTTGGCTCTTAGCTGAGGACCAGCTTGATTAGTGATGATGTGGGAGAGTCCAGACCATAGGTGGTAGTACCCCTGGGCAGGTGGTCTTAGAGGGTATAAGTAAACAGGCTGAGTAAGTCATGGGGAGCAAGTCAGTACACAGCATTCCTCCATGCTCTCTGATTTAGTTCCTGCCTCCAGGTTCCTGACCTGAGTTTTTGCCCCAGCTTTTCTTCATGAAGAACTGTAAGTTATACGGTGAAATAAACCCTTTCCTCCCAAGTCACTTGTGGTCATGGTCTTTAACACAGCAATAGCAAGCAAACTAAGGCAGCTGGTGTCTTCTCATTACCCTGAATCTGCTTTCTCTGAGTGCATGCTGGGCCATAGGAAGGCTGGACCGCAGAGGCTTTCCTAAGTGAGATAAATGTCTGTCTGCTGGTCTGGTTCCCACTACAAGGGCATTGAGATGGAAGTCCTGGGATTGCCTGCCTGCTGCTGACTGGCTACCACTCTGGTACCTCAGTGCACAGTGGACAGGGAAGGGATTCTAGATTCCTATCTCTCGCAGAACACACAGTGAGTGTCAATGTCACAGGTTAGCAAACAGAAATACCCACCCTTCTGGCAGAGTCCAGCCTGCATGGGAAGTTGGGGTCCTACACAACAGCTGCTAATTTAACCTAGATATACCCCCTTACATGTGGGAGTGAGACTTACTCACTTTTAGGAAAAGGGGAACTTGGGACAAAATGATCTCACAGGTTGGGGATCTCTCATCACCATGTTGAGAACGCAACCACTTCATGATGGAAGAGTTCGCTTACTTGGCTGTGTGTTTCTGCCCTGTTTGGTTATTTTAGACCTTGGAACCCTTGAAAATGAAGAAAGCTTAGAATGAGAACCACGCCACATCTCACTGGACAATTTGCCTCACAGACACTGTTACAGTACAGACCTCTAAGTACCTAGGGGCCCCACCCAGGGCATCATGACCCTTTCCCCTATGTCAAGTGGAGAAGAGCAGTAACTATGTTAAGGAACGCTGCTACAACTTACAACCCAGCTTCAAGGCACTCCATACAGTGCCTGCAGGGCCAGCTACTATTAGCCATTTGTTAAAGCAACTTTTACTAACATCTTCCACTTTTAATGCCATACAGGAAAGAATTTCACGTTTTTCTGCTGTTATATACTAACAAACAGAAGGAAAATTCCACCTGGAAATGTGTGTTCCAATGCCAAGAAGCAGAAGCGCCTGAGTGCTTAATGACCCCAGCATAAATCACCAGGCATGGTTATGAAAGTTGCGGGTTTATCAGAGGGAGCGGCAGATAAAGCACCTGGATGGTTGCTGCTTGTCTGGAACCGGGAAGAAGTCATGATTTTCATGTCCTACCTTGCCAAGCTAAGACTGCTAAGTGGACCAGCATAGATATTTCTAAGTGTCAGGCAGTGAGCAGGAAGGCGAAGCTTGAAAGGGGAGCAGAGAATTTTCCTGCACAGAGAGTGGACCTGTTCTCCAGGCTGCTCTTGGCTGAACACCAGTTTCCCTGCAGGCTCCTGCAGGGAACTCCTTCAGACCTTCCGACTAACTAATGTGTATCTGGACTGGCTCTGGACAGACACCCAGGTTTGCAGAAGACATATTCCTAGCCCATAAAGAGAAGCATGTGTCTAAGTCTGTCACAGGGTTCACATGAGTAGACACAGAGACCTGTTCACTTCTAGTAAAATATGTGAGAGCTTATCAAGGCAGTTAGCTGAATAGAACAGGAAAAAGCCAGCTCCAAGGGCTTGAAAAGCCTAGCTGGGTGCAGTAGATTACACCTGCAGTCTCAGTGCTTGGGGGGTAACGCAGGAAGAACATGAACTTCCAGGCCATCCTGGGCTACACAGCAACGCCATCTCCAAACAAAAGGGGAGGTTTATTTTTTGACAGGATAACAGTTGCTAGCGTTGTAGTGACTTGGTAATTTACAGGCTTTGCTGACATCTCTGAACTTCCTTCAGCTTTCCTCTTCCGGTTATAAGACAGTCTAAAACTCAAGCAGGCTAAGGAAGAAAAGGCCCCTCCAGCCACATCTGCCCTTTCGTCAAGAAATAAAGTATCACTCGAGATCCACAGTCAGGCTTTGCTTTTCTCTCATTAGTTCAAATCATGGCATGTTTGTCACTGTGTCCCATGTGTGTCCTGGTTATAATGGAGGCTAGTAAAGTGTGTGTGTGTGTGTGTGTGTGTGTGTGTGTGTGTGTGTGTGTGTGTGTGTGCGTGCACTGTTAGAACTGGGTAGGGGCACTATGCAGGCAGTGGCAGGCAGTCATAGACTTCAGGAAAACATCAGTCACAGAACAGATATTCAGCACACACAGTCACCAAAACTGATGCGGAAGGGAATTTGAACAGTAATTCCTGTGAAGTCACTAAGGAAGTCCTTATTATTTCCCAGATGCCAAGACTTGTTGAGTTCTCGGGAGGACTCCTGCTATCACAGGTTCATGTCTATTAGCAAAGAATGGACAAGAACACAGACAAGTTAACTCACGAGTCTCTTGCCTTTGATGCTTAAACAGCGACGTCACAGGTGTGCTGCCCGGCCACCTGCCTGCTGTCAAGAACTGCCGAGTCTTGGAGTGAGAGCTAAACACGGTGAACACGGAAGGGTGGAGCTCCAGCATCATTCCTGCATCTGGGTTTGTTTTCCCTGCTCTGCTGAGGGAGGGCTGGGAGAAATCAGTATCTGTAGTTCACTCTGAGGTGATACAGCCCACCTACGCTCCGCTCCGTGCTGCTCTACCCACCACTCTCCGGAGGTGATCCCCAGGAGAGCGAGGATAGATGGGGGAGGGGCAGGCTACAAAATAGCAAAGAGTAGAAAAATGGCATTCAGAGGCTGGGGCTGGAGAGTTGACTCAGGGGTTAAGAGGACTGGCTGCTCTTCTAGAGGATCCATGGTTGATTCCCAGTACCCCCATGGTGGCTCACAACCATTTGTAACTCGAGTGCCAAGAAATACGATGCTCTTTCTAAACTCAGCAAGCTGTGGGAACATAGGTGGTGCACAGACATGCATGTAGGCAAAACACCCATACATATAAAATAATGAGATAATGTTTTAAATGTGAGGAAATACCAGGGGCTGGGGACAGAGCAGGCACATGCTCTTCCCTCTGCTGAACTGAATCGCTAATGTGTTGGAACTGCCAACAAACTGGAATTTTGAACTGACTGATGATATGGCACCCAGAATGAGTGTCCATGGTCAGTATTACCAGCCATTGACACCTGGTGAAGCCCACCCATGTGGCTTTGTTCACGGGAGTTCACAGACAAAGCCCAGCAGAAGCAGGAGCCGCATCTCCAACTCTGAAATGGCTCCAGTGAACAAGGGAATCCCTTCAGCATGCGGCACACAGAATTCCAGACCCTGCAGGAAGCAGCTGTCAGAGTACAGTTATGACTAGTCTCCTACGGCCAGGAGTCAGCATGACAGACAGGATAGGAAGTACAGCATCCCCTTCCACGAGTTGGCTCGCAGCAAGCAAGAGCACTCAGATGGCCCCATTATTACTATATTTTACCCTCTGTTCTTCCTCCAACTCAAAGCTGCTGTGTCTTGAAACCTATACATCATGTAATTTGTAAAATGCTTATACCTAACAGATTCATTTTCCCCCTTAAAATGTCCTAATAGAGTACACAAACGTGTGTACAAAGGCTATCATTATACTGCTTGGATTCTTGTAATTATTTAATTACCACAAGTGCTGTTTATGGGGTGTCTATTAATATGTAAGGCTCTTGGGGTGGGGAGTCAGTCTTCTAATACATAGTACTGTCTAAGATAAAATGGTCCTGGGTTGAGAGCTGTGGTCATGTGACTGAACACATGGCATCACACCGCTGCCCCATTATTCTGGCGCTCTTTAGAAGGTTCAGAGTTATGAGGTCTTTACCATCTACTATAGTTTAGACTGAGAATGTTCTCCAAATGTGTCAAGGCCTGGTCTTCAGCTTGGTGCTATTGGGAGATGGTAGGACTTTTAAGAGTGGAGCCTTGTGAGAGGTCCTCAGGTTACTAGGGGTGTGGCTTCAAAGGGGACTGTGGACACTGGGCTCTCTCTCTTTCTCTTTCCCACTTGAACACAAGGTAAACAGGGATCCTCTCCATAGACTGCCACCATGCTGCTCTGTGCTGCTGTCTACCCAAAGTTTTGTGGTCAGTCACAGACAGAAGTCTCTAATGCTTGGAGTATAAAAAACCTGTTCCCTTCTTACGCTGATGTATCCCAAAGATTTACTACAGTAGCAGAAAGTTAGGCAGCATTTCTTCAAATCCTCAACTTCCAGAGCACCATCACTAACACTCGCAGCTAGTGATGCTCAACAGGCCTTCGCTTTCTCCAGAAAATCTTCAGTGCGTCTGAGAGTGTAAGAATTTCCATCCACAAGAGCTAGGCAGGATGGCATGTGTGTGTTCTGTTCAACTGGTAGACAAAGGCAGGAAAGACAGATGCAAAGATTAATCCTCTTTTACAACCCAGAGCTTATTGTTCAGTATGAGTTTTTATGCATATGAGGACTGTCACACACACACACACACACACACACACACACACACACACACACACACACACACAGACACCACACACCATACACAGGATCCCACACTCTGAAACTCTGGTGATCCATAAAATACTTCTATACCCAGAAATATAAAATGCTAGCTTCCAGGCCAAGAAAGGTACTTGAATGTGAGTTTTTCAGTCCTTGAAGAAATTGTAGTGAATATTAGAAGCTAGGATACACACAGTGAAGTGAACAGACATGGTGAACAAACCCAAGGAAACAAAATCCTTAGCCAGCACTAGGAAATTCACCTAAATCACACCAACAACTCCCGCAGCCCCTGGAAATTTCAGACAAGGTCCTTTCCAAACGGAAATCTTACAGAAACCATCTCCATCGCCATCTTCGTTTGCCCAGAGTAACTCTTGATGGGAGGTTCAGCACTATTGAAGGCATGGCTGCTGCAGAAGATCAAGTGGAGGGCTCTAGCAGGCCAAAGCATGGCAAACACAGGCCTGAATATGGCCAACATGGAGCCAACAGGTTTTGTCCTTTACCCTTCTCTCTCCCTTCCTAAAGCTTTAAGTTACCCTCCTAAAGCTAGCCACCAAGGTCTAGTTCCTGATTTGACCACTTTGTTATGCCTGACTCATTCCTGAGACTGATCACCAAGGTCTAACTATCAAAACATCAGAGTCTAACTATCAAAATTGATTATTTTGACTCACCTAATTAAAATACCCAATCAGAGCTTACCAACATGCCCTAGCTCATTCTAACACAGACCATCCCTTTTCTCCTCTTAAAATTAACACTTGCAAGCTATTTGCTGCTGTTTCTTCCCAGTTCATATTCAGCCATGTTGTCTCTTTGTCTTGCTTACTACAGGATCTTTTTGTGTTTGGTTTGTGCATAGAAATTGGTGTTTGGATGTGGTCTGTGCCTAATCTGGGGTCCAGAGGGGAGTACCCCACAGTACACAGGTCCTTTCAGCAAGGACATCTGGATGTTGCAGCCCTCCAGTTTCTGCTACCTCCAATATCTGGAGCCCCAGCACATCACTAGGGACCTCCTCCAGAGTCATAATACGGTTTGTTTCATTATGGTGTTGGGAAGTGAAGTCCTTAAGAAATGATTAGGCCATTTCTCCTGGGAATTCTGCTTTTCTCCTGGGAATTCTCACTGTCTTGGGACTAGAACAGCGTTGTCTTTCCAAATGTGCTCATGTGTGCTTCTGTTGCCCACTAGGAGTTCAGTTAATTTGAGGCCCTTACAAGGGACATTCTCTCCAACTTCCTTGTTCTAGAACCCTGAGCAAATATAAACATCCTTTCTTTACATACCACCCATCACAGGTATTCAGTGATAGTAACATGGATTATTTCATCAAACATAAATCCCACTCAGTGTCTTATAATTCAGCCTGTGTGTCCTTACAACACACCAAAAATATCAGAAAACACAGCAAATTCCATACCCAAACTAAATTTTATTTAATGTGGTTAACCAACCTGCTATTCAATTATTTGGGGTTTGAATGTTCTCTTAGTGATCTATTTGTTTAATTTGTTTGAGCTGCTTTTTCCACAGCTTGATGGTAGTACAAGTAACAAAACTCACATACACATAATATATAGAAGGTGATAGCTTTAGAATCTTACACATTGTGAAATGTTTACTACAGCTGAATGAAGCAACACATTTAATATCACCCGCAGATGCATGTACATGCAAAGTGAAGATGCTTAGATCAATGTCATGCCTTGTCAATGGAGGGGCGGGTATACATTGGCACAGAATAGTTCTGCATTGACCTTTTCCTCTCTTACCATTACAGGCTTGCCTATAGCACAAATACTGAATGTACCCCGTGGGGCTTACTCCAAACTACTCTTTAGAAGTCTTTAATGACATCCTTCTCAGTGCTGTCATGAGCCTTGGCTCGCCTTGTACTGGCAGCACTCCTGCATCCCATTCTTCTTGATTATGAATGTTCTTGGCCATGTCCCTCCTGCCTTCTACAAATGCCCTCCAAAATCGGGCTCAACACAGGCCCTTCCTTCGATGTGCCTCCTTCCTCTAAGGCTGCGTATGGCTGTGTTGGGAGCACATCACCATAAGGCTAAGTCTATCAGCAACTCCAGCCATAGGACGGCAAATCTTTCTGAGGCAGGTACTACTCAGTGATCCTCTGAGAAGAGCTCAGAAAAGCCCCAAGAATCAGAAGAGGCACTGGGGCTGAGGTAAGAGGCCAAGTCAGCCTGCAGGCATTTGACCTTGTGGTCTCACACCACTGGAGGTTTCTGAAGCTGTCTGAGACCACTGAGCCGGGTCACCCCTCCGCCCAACTGTGTCATGTCTGGAATAGAAGCACCAACCCAGCAGAAGTGTGGTTAGTTCTGTAAACGTCAAGAAAAACAACCAGACATTGTGCCTGACCGTTTCAGAATTCCTCTGTTCTATGGTAGGCCAGGGTGGGGTCCTGAGGCCTCCAGTGGCAGGTGAACCAAGGTCAGCTGGACATGACTCCATGGAGATAATTCAATGTCAGCTGGGCTGTGGTCACCTAGCATCTCAGCGATGCCAGACAGTCAAGGTGGCTCCTTCATGGGGCTGGAAATTGATGCTGGCTGGGGAAGGTTGTTTGGCTGGAGCTGTGTACCAGACAGCCTGCACCTGTGAGCAGCTGAGTTCTCAGGCAGAGGTCCCCAAACCAAGCATTCCACCTGTGAGCAGCTGAGTTCTCAGGCAGAGGTCCCCAAACCAAGCATTCCACCTGTGAGCAGCTGAGTTCTCAGGTAGAGGTCCCCAAACCAAGCATTCCTAAGGGGGTCAGGTAAAACTGGAAGATCTCTTTCAAATCACCAGATGTACCACCTCTTTCCATTTACCAAGACATCTCTGCACATGTCTGGCAGGAGGAGGTGAACTCAGACTGTCATTCCTAGTGGGGGAGTGGAGGGGTGTGCAGGGAGGAAGGCTTTGGTGTGACCATCTTGGTGGGGTCCTTTGCTCAGGCTGTAGCATCTAGGCATCTCCTTTAGAGTCCAGCTATAGCATACAGTATTTAAGGATGTATAATCCCATGTTGGCTTTATTAATTTTCAGTTTTTATAATCCTAAAAGTCATTCCACATACCCCCAACCCCGCCTTCCCCTCGGAAACCAGAGCCTAGATGCAGTCCAGCACATCTCTGTCTTGGACAGATTCTTCTTGGGAAAGGGCCACTGTTTCTGAGGCTCAAAGCAGGCCTTTCTGACAAGAAAAGCTTATCTGAGAAACTTTCACTTGTCCCGACAACTGTGCGCAAATACTAACCCTCTCTTTTAGGTGCTTAATTAGCAGATTGGTGGCATCGAAGCTCCCTGATGGGGTGTTGGAGGACTATGCCTTCCAAATGGGAAAGACACCACTGCCAAGGCTGACATGCTGGCCTCTGCACACAGCTGTGCCATTGCTGTGTGGAAATGAAGAGTAGAAAGAGACGCAAAGACAGGCCCCAGGCAGCGTAGTCTACCCCGCAGCTAGGGAGAGGGCCTGTGGGAGCCCAGGCTGTGGAGCTGAAGGCTCGAAAGGGACAGTGGTGTTTCACCCTTTAGGGTCTGAAGACTAGGCCTGTTGCCTCCCTTTACTTTCCCTCAAGTCTAGGCAGGAATACCCTGACGTATCACCTGCTTCTTGGGTTTCCAGAGACACAGCAGAGAACCCTGTGGCCTCGGGGTCTCGTATCACAGACTTGACATCAGTTGACTAAGGGATAAGTGTCATTTGTACACTAAGACTTGAAACTAAGCAGAATTTTATTACGCTTCAATCTATTAAGTAAAAAAACTTTGAAATTACATTTTCTTTTCCTCAACAACATAAAAATACCATTAAAATATTTTTTGAAAACTATAGCATCTGTAAGAACATGTACAGGCAGACGTTTTTCTTGTAACTGTCTGCTTAATGATGTAACTTATATTTATGTAGTATTAGTCATTATTATCATCCAGAGATTATGTAAATGCATAAGGAAATGCATGGAGGTCTCTGAAAACACTGTCATTTTGTGTCCTCGAAGTTTAGTATCTGTGTGGCCCTGGGGTCAGGCACCCATGCATACTGAGGGACGGCTGTAGTAGGATCTCACTTTACAATTCCAATCACCAGATAGCAGAAATCTCCCAGAAGGAAAGCTCCAACCTTTCAGCCTGCCAAGTAATTGGTCATACTTTGGCATTTCCTTTGGTCTCTTCCCATGTGTATTTGAGCTTCACAAATGTCAAAGCTCTAAGTGAAAATGAAGATCTTTTCTGTGAACAGAACTACTCAGAGATGAGGTGAAAAATGCCTAGAAAACTGGCTCGTCCACATCCAAGTTGTTAAGTTTTATAATATGACAAAGACATGGACTGCAGACTGCTTCGTGTATATTAGAAAAAGCATGTAGCTTTTCAAAAATACTTTTGATTTTGATTATTAGAGCACAGGGGAAACCTAAAAAGCACTTTGGAAAAATGTGCATATATAATTTTATGTATTTTCCCACATTCCACATGTGTATCCCATAGATATCCTACTTAGATGTATCCCCGATGTGTATCCCATACATATATAGCTAACAGTTGACCACTAAAACTTCTCTTGAGATCACTAATTGAATCTGCTTAATATATTTTATAAAGTTTACAGACGCACTTTCTCAGTTTTTGTCATGATCTGGCTCGTCACCTGAGCCATGTGTGGAGAATTCTTCCAAGCTTCACCGCTCCACCCAAAGGAAGCAGATGCCCCCTCTTTGGTCCAAGAATTTGCTCAAATATTGTGTTGGGCTCCTGGGGCTTCAAAAATCATTTAAAGCAGCACATGGGTCCTGCGTTCATACACACTGATGGTACGTCCATCCATGTCTGCCATCAGATTCTCAAAGGACTTGAGGTCTTAGAAAATCTGAGTAATTCTACCAACCAAAAGATCTTCATTTGAGCCATTCTATTGATATTAATACAGTACCTCAATACAAAGCCTAAAATGG